GGTGTTCAGCTTTGGCTGCATCGGAAACGACTCCCTCCGGCATCTACAGCCTCCACTCATGCTTCCCTCTCTACCCTCAACTAATTACTACTGATTGCACCCAAGAGCTAACGGCCTTGGTGTAATGTGCCCTGTCTCAGAAGTCACCAGAAGTCAGGGCCGGTCAGAGAGGCAGCAATTTGTTCTCCTGTGCAGGAGATTGAAGCCAGAAAAAGCAGGTCACTAATACAAGAAGATGTTTTCCTCTTAGCACAGAAACGAACATTATTTTGTACTAGTTGTTGGACACTAAGTATTTAAGTATGTTTAACCACGACAGGTATATTCACTCGTGAACATGCTTTCCCAAAGTAGCAGTGCTCCCTTAGCCCTAAGAGCAGTCCTCTACGAAAGGCGACAGCTTCAGCGCAGGAGCTGGGCCTGAAAAGCCTGTGACGTCCTGGCCGGGGCAGCCGCACCACAGCCAGAGCGGGGCGAGCAGGAGGCGAGGGGCACCGCTTTGCAGAAAAACAGAGCAAGGAAGCTTCGATACCCTCTTTGGAAGGGCCCCTGGAAAAGTCAAAGAAACAGCATCTTTAACCTGCAACCACTTATTCTCACGGACATCACAGAAAGTTTCATAAAAATCATCTTTGAAGACAGAGGAAAGGGGAAAGTAAAGCTGAGAGACACACACAGTACAGAGTTATTTTATTGAAATACCTGAAAAGGCCAGCGATGGAAAAATAGGTTTGTCATGAGGAATAATGTTAATTTACTTCATCATTAAAAAAGCTGTGTCTACAGGTAATCTAGCCAGTTACAGAATGCACTGTGAACCATGCAACTAATTTACTACAGTAGAATAGGCACTGTGTACTACTTAGGTCTAGCTCATACACAGCTTAACAAGTATGATTTACAGATGTGAGAAATTAAACACTTTCTGAGTTATAAACATTTACAATATATAAATCTCATCTGATTCATCAGGGTTATAAAATGCAACATAGTGGAAAATGAAAAAAATAGAATTACACACAGCATATGAAGTTGGTCTGGCAGTTTTCGAAGTTTCCTTTTTTCGTTTTAAAAGAAGTCTTAGACTGTTAAACATTTCACTGGTCATATAACATACAAAATCATAGGCCAAGTCAGCCACAGTGACCTTTATCTTGAAATACATAGTCCAGTGGGTAAACTGTTTTTTTTTTTTTTAGTTAAAAAATAGATAAAGAAAAAAAAATCAAAAATTCTGCCTGATACAGATTGTAGTCCCAAAAGATTAAGTCCCGTCAGATGAATTTGTAATAAATAAGCAATCCTTGAGGAAGAGTGATCCTTGAGTTGAACCTATTCTACTGAAAAATGAATTTAAATTTTACACTATCCTGTCACTATGGTGAAACACCTAAGAACAGTATTTTGAATAACTTTGGGGGAAGCCATGTCTTACTGCCTTAGTATGTACAGGTTATTTACAGCTAATTCCCTTTTGGCCTCATAAGTCAAGCCATTTTACCTGGCTGTTAATATGCAATTTTTTGTTTTTCTCACACACATTTATGCAATACTGTAATTAGAACTATAATTTAAAATAATCTTATGCATGAATTACAAATATTAATAAAGTAACTCTGCATATATAAATATTCCTAGCAGAATTTAAAGCATTCTGAATGTACATAAAAGTTTATTTTTATTTGGTAGGGCCAGATGTGCTTCTTCTCAGATCATCGTTGCTTTAATAATGCTTTGTACATAGCAAAACCCAAAACTGCAAAGACAGTAGCACCAAAACTCGCTCGAAGCCAAAACGTAGAGCTCTTGAGGTCTGCTTGTGTCACATGCCTGCAATTTAACACACACACACACAGAAAAACAGGTTAATGTCTGGACAGGAATATCGACAACTTGTGCTGAACAGCTCTGCTTTTGGAAATTCATCATTACACTTGTCACAAGCATGAAGCATACAGTTAGGCCATGAAAATAATCATACAGGCACTTTTACTTTCTTAAAAACTTAGAACTTGATCTGCAGCTTTGATCATGTTGGTGGAGCTCACTAAAAGTGGAGACCTCATGTAGCTGAAAGAGGAATGCTGCAGCAGATCATTAGTCAACTACGACTGTGCGGAGGGCAATCTGCTCTCTTTAAGAACACCAGCAAGTAAATAATTAAGCATCCACAGTGAGAACAAGTACGACACAGCAAAATATAATTTATTATTATTTTTCATCTTCTGTTTGCTTATATCTGCTTTTCTGTGCAAAATCCTCAGTCCTTTTGAGTATCTATTTGAATTTCCCAGAAAAAAAAAAAGTTTACTGACAAGCAGCAAGGAATATTTTTTCCAAAAGCTAGAATCAAAGAATGGCAATTTGTAAAGCCCTTCCCACACTAACAGCAATAGAAACACCCAACCAATACCAAGCCAAAAGCTAAGAGAATGTGCTAGTGAAACAGGCAGTGACACTGGCATCAACAGAAAAAGTACAAGATGTGACAACAATATGAAGTGAGTAGATGACATAAAAAGCCACAATTTGCATTAGAGACAGCCAGCAACCCAAATATTGCAAGAAGTTTGTGAGCATGCTCAGTTAAACACTGCTAGCCATCCTCAAAGTAGTCTCAAGTATGACAGCTTACCATAAAGCAGCAGTTACTGTTTAAAACAAGTTACAACGAACACCATCATTCAAACACAAAAAGTTCCTTAATAATAGCAAGAAGTTTTTTCTTTTATATATGTATATATTTCAAGGATAGCAGCTGCAACAGAACTTCACTACTCTAAGTATTTTAGCCTGTATTAATTGTCATGGGTTACTCGGTGAAAGCTTTAGCATTATTACATACAAGAAACAAACAGAGACCCTGAGCATACACTGTGTAAGAATTCATGTGTGAATTGCAGGGCCATCATACACAAGCTGTTTTGGAGAGCAGGAATTGTTACTTGTTATCAAAAGGCACAAAACCAGTTTAAGACATTTGCAGGAGTAGCACGAACTATGTAGATAACCATTGCACTGTCACATCACATGCTGAAGAACAGGCACGGGTTCTTCGGTGCACAAGCAGCTGGTCACAGCTGCTCAGTAGAAAATCCTATTCTTATTTAGGCTTATCGTGCTCCATTACGGAATGGCTCAAATTCATCAGTTCCTGCAAGCATTAGTTCTTCCACAGCTAGTCAGGACAAACTGCATACGAGGGGTCAGGTGGGTTTGTCAAGGGGAAGCAAGGGAGAAGGCAATGCCAAGGTCACCTTAGTTAGGGTGCTGTTACCTGTCTTCAAGCAAACGTGGACCAAGAGATGACTCCATGAAGATGGAATCTTCTACAGAGTGGACGGCGTGCACCTGCTGCACAATACTGCTCTCCTCGTCTGCTAACAGCATGGCACCCAACTCATCTAGGTAGGGTCTTAACCTTTTTACACACATGCACAGTTTGCAGTTCATAGCATGGCTCAACAACAGCAAGAGTCTCAAAATATGCCAAAATGACAAAGCCCACACGATTTATAATCAGATTTTTTTTAAACCATTTAGACCCTATTCTTGTGCGGTTGTTAAAAACTTAGTGCTTGGGGAAAACAGCAGTAACTGCAGTTTGTGCTTTTGATAAGCTGAGTCAAAAACATGGTTGCGTAAGTCAGCACCACTGCTGTGAAGAAAGCTGCTTAGGAAAATGAATCCCTTCCTACCAACACCAAAGCGTCAGTTTTCATGAGTCTACAGAATACTGCAATACTCCTGTACTCCACACAAGCTAGTGTACCTGGGCAAAGCACCCTGGCTCCAACACGGCAGCCCTCAAATTGACAGGAATTCATTACTGTTGACAAACCAAAACTGTATTTTAGCAGTACTAAGAAGTTTCAGAGAAAGCTCTTTTTAAGTATATGATTATGAAGCCTTTAAGACCTAACATTATAAAACTTATCTGTATATGTAAAATAAATCATTGTATATATCTTTTATTACTTATGTGCCAAGTTCTGTTGGGTGTATAATTGTATAATTAGCAGCTCAAGTTTAATTTTGTTAATTCAAATGCCCAACTACCTACATAATTCAAAAAGCCTGTCCTTAAAAGTACAAATCACTACTCAAATTGCAATGAATGCTTCTGCATTGTCTCATAAAGCACTATCACTCCTATCCATATTTTCTGATTCCTATCTATAATTTGCCTTGTTGCAACACTTACAACAGGTCCATACTTAATGGCATGTGGGAAAATTACTAAGCAAGATAAAGTAATACTATGTCCTTTTAAAAAACAATGACTACGTTTTCAGCTATGATAAAAACGTCTTTTCATGTCTAAACACAGAGTAAATTGGTTCTGATCTCTTATCTAAGCCCCTCGGTTACAGATTCTTTCATTTAAATGAAAGAAATCAGGACAGGGACTTGTCTCAGGACCGCAAAGGAAGCTGACTTCCATGAGTAACTATTAGGGCCCTCAGAAAAATCTTAATACAAAAATTTAAATTAAAGCAATACTGTAATTCAGAACACTTTGGATGTGTTTTAGCACATTTTCCCACCTTTCTTTTCCTCTAATCACATCATTTAGCTGCCATTAAAAAAATTTAAAAAATAATCAACCTTTTTTTTCTAACATGGCTCTTCAACATGAAAGTGATTACAGTGTTCAAACACATGCAGAAAGCTTCCAAGTTTTAAATAAATGTTACTTTAAAACAACATTAAATTTTTACTTTAGTATAGTTGTGTTTATGGAACTTATTTGCAATGGTAGAAGTTACAACTTCAAGTTACAAGTAACTACCAATTTTGTCAACCCTGAATGAGAAAATTGCCCCGTGTTGGTCAGGGAGAAGGCACGTACGTATATATGTGCACACATGCTAGTTAGGACCCCATGAACAATGTTCTATTTGAGGCTCTTGCTTAGTAGTAATAATACTTAGCTTTCAAATGTCAAAAATAGACTTGTGTAGGAAATTAATCAATTCCATGTATATATGAAGTCTAGAAATTCCACCTCTAGCAAAAAAAAAAAAAAATCAGATTTTAATACACATTTTGGAAAAAAAGTGCAATTGATACCAAGGGCAGGTTGAGTAAAGAGTCATTTGCCACCTGTTGGATGACATGTTTCCAAACTCTACTGTCTTCTGAACTCACAAGAAGTTTGCACCACGCACTAAGCAAGAAGTTAACTGAGCATGCCAGTCAGAGTGACACACACAAAACTGCTGAATTCTGGGCCAAAACCAACGCTTTTTCCCTGTCAGCAGCAAAAGAAACCTAAGTTTGGGTGGGTTTGACCTTGAGTTCCAGAACATCCCCACTTTAGTGATGAAAGCATCTGAAAAGCGCAGCGGTGAGGCCAGCCTAGCCACGTGGCAGCTCAACCCAGAGTTACAAGCAGAGTTAATGCAGGCAGCAAGCAGCAGCAGCCTGCTCCGAGGGGTAGTAGGTTTGCAGGATAAAACACACATGGAATTCCACCAACATCGTGTCACGTGTGCAAGCTGCTGCAGCTTCCCTTCAGGCACATTTTTTCCCCGGGATGCAAACCAACTCCAGCAGTTAGCTTCCCCCCATGCATTAGTCATCTAAAATGTAAGAAGCTCCAAGCACATCTTACTATACACAAAAACTAAAAGGAATGTAAAGTGCCCAATCAATATATCCCATTTGGAAAACAGCCAAAGAATGCAGCTTTGCAAACTTCTACTCAGTATGGAGTATGAATTAAACAGTTCATAGAAGGATGAAAATAGGTAAATAAAATATTGTTATACTTTCCTAATTTGAGGATAAAATAAGGAAACATTTCCTCCATCAGATTTAACAATACACTTCTATTTTCAAAAAAAATAATCCAGGTGCACTGCACACTGTGGAAAAATAAAACCTGGCTTGTGTTCTTAGAGCTCTTCCCATTATTAAAGGAAAATAAAACTATTCTCCTAACTTTACTTTCAGAGAAGAAAGGTTTTCATAAGAAACTTATAAATATTTCCTGAAACAATCTTGTTTTATATGCAAGTAAAAACTCACTATTTCACACTATTTGAAACCTTCAGAATGAAGAAAAACATTGTCTGAGAGATGTCTCTCCTCCTGCACAACAGAATTCTCATGCAGAAGAATCATTCTGAAACAAATTCAGCTGCCACAGAAAAACGCCACTACTAACAAGCAAAAGGCAACAAGCGAATGATTTAAAATGAAAAAAGCAGAAACACACAGTTAAAATGTATGCCATGGAAATAAATAAATAAATAAAATAAAACCAAGCAGATGGTTAAGGAAAGGGTTAGAATAACTTATATATGCAGAAGTTTTGCTTTTAAAAAGAGGTAAAATAATGTAGTAAAAAGAGATTAAGTGCCAGCCAGACAACTACAAACGAACACCTAAAGGAAAGAACAAATTAAGAAATATAAGTGCTACAACAGAGTCACAAATCTCATACATGCATCTACAGTGCTCTGAATGCAATGTCTTCCTCAGACAATCAAACTGTGATCCTGGGTAGTTCAAACCAACAATTCCCGTTCCTGTACAATAAATATTATAAAACTGACCTTCCACACTTGCTGCAGCTGTGTTTCTGATAACCTACAAGAGAGCCTCTTAAGCTTGTCTATACAAGATAAATTCAGGGTGGCATGAACATGTCTCAACTGCAAGGAAGCAATGTTCTTCCTTAAATCACTAAGGTGGGAATAGTCAAATACAAAATTTGCCTCAGTAACAGCATATAAGCACTACGTAGCAACAATAATACAGGAAGGGGCCCAGTCTGAAAGATTTCACTGTCTAAAACTGCAGACTAAGAATAAACCAGGAGAAAAAAAAATACTCTTGAGAAACCTCCTCTGCCTCTTAAATGACTAACTTTTGCCCAACTTCCCTGACTATGCAAGCACTTAGTTTAAAAAAAAAAAAAAAAACCCACAACATTAACTACATCAAAAAAGTCTCCTTGATTAAAATGTCTTCTCTAATCACAAATTTTCCATTAGATTAAAAATATTTTTAAAGAGCTCACTAGAAAGCGAGTTGGTTGGATGAAGGTAAAAGGCTGGAAACCTGCAATAAAACGACTCTAGATGACTGCAGAGATGAGATTCTAGCAGTAACTGCTTCTTTACAGGATCAGCACAAGAGCTTGAGGAATTCTTTGTTCTGAATTACAGATTTTTTAGAGCAGAGCGGGCTCAGCTGTTTATTCCCCACTACCAAGACAAAAGGTGCAGAATGAGAGCACCCAAGATTTTCAAATAGGAGCTCAGCAGTAACTCAGGGGAACAAAGTACAGGGTCTCAAACGCCCATACAAAAGAGAAACAAGCCACAGCAGTTAATGCAGCAATCCATAAGCAATCCGAAAGGAGAAGTGAGGATTAATTAGAGCAGTGGTCTGGGCCTTGCTAGCAGAAGACTGGGGTTTTCTAGCAGTGACTGCTGAGTGAAGTGACAACATGCAAGGAGACTTTTGTTTCAAGGGACTTTTTTCTGAGGGAGGACTATTATGGAAGATGCATAGTAAGAATTACCTCACATATTTATTATATTTTCTCGAGCTACCCATTTCCCCTCTCTTCCTCTTCTTACTCTTTGGTTAATACTAATATTTGGAACTCCAAGAGTAGGATTTCACCAGCATACTTTATACTGCAGGTATGTCCATCACTAGGCCTCTGATGCATGCGTAACTTGCCTTCAAGGGAGGCATCCTCTGTTTGGTGCAGCTACATCTGAAAGCAATATAACGTGCTAATACACATGGAGCAGCAGCATGCCATGCTATTCCAGCCACGGCCTTCCAAGAAACATTTGCACCATAATCTGGGATTCCAAGGAGGCTATAAAAGAAGGAACCACTACACTACAAAAGTTGTTCGGTTTGAACTCCCATTTGCAGGGGAAGATGATGAATGCTGAGGTGCCAGTAACTGTGTCAAAACCAAGGTGTTTCATAAACACAGCCTGCAGTACACACAAGACAAGGTGCAGCACCCACTTCAACGCTGAAAACCAGCTCTCAGAATCTACAGTTTGAATCTGTGAGTTCACCAATTGCTCTTCTTGCAATAGCTGCAAATGGACATGGTTAACCATTTACCACTTCTAATGTGTTGTTTTATTCAGAGATGAATTGGATGTTAAAAGTTCCAGATTTTTTCACAACATATCCACTCACTATGTAAACCAGCCATAATATTTATATGCATAATTTATACACACAGAAATTCTGTCAACTCCCCAAAACAAAATCAGCAACTGTAACCGTGTAGTATGCTGTAATACTGTTATAGTCAAGACTTGCCTTTGTCTACATTAAATGAAAATATATTTGTAGAATTGGTATCTAAGAAGCACTATATCTAATGAATACTTGAACCTATATGGTCCCAAATGAGACATTTTATAGATTTATAGACACTAGCTGCTGCCTATTATCAGCTCCCTTAACAACACAGGCCTAATTTCTCCTTTTTGTTTTTGCAATCACTAAATGGCTGAATTGACCACAAAATTGGTAGTATTTCAAAATTACCTTTAAACTAAGCTTCAAAGATCAAAACTACTTTTAAGCTACAGAGATCAGTCCCTGAAAAAAAAATCTCATGACAATTATTAAAACAAGCATCTGCCTGCTTAGTGGATATGGAGTGAAAAATCTGCAGGGTATAAGGTTACCAATTGCTTTTTCAGAGAAACCTTTATGTTAAAAGCACACCTGGTACCTAGTAAATAAAGTTAAGGACCTGTTAAGAACTGCAGTGAAGAGTTTGTTCTTTACAGATTGCAGCAAGTCTGAGTTGAGGAAGTTCTGACAGATGCAAAATGTACACCTGTTGCAGGCGCACATACAGCGTAACCGGGCATGGCTGCGAAAACACACAGAAGGACAGGAGTTGAGATCTTGCTCATAAAAATCAGGTGCACATTAGGGCTGTGCCACAACCAAGAGAGAGTTAGGAATAAAAGGTACATTCGAATGAGTAAGGAGAGGAAAATAAATAAATAAATACACTGGGAAAGCAAGGGTAAAGCTACAGCTGTGCAGAATTTTAGGGTTACATGTCCTAGGTCTTGGGTGTTTTGGCTTTATCACCCGTTACCAGATCGTAATAGGAAAACACAAACATCACTGGAAATATTTGCTGAATTACATTCAAGTTTGTAAGAAAAGCATCTCAGGACTTTGGAGTATGTCTGCACAGCAATAGATAACACCCATTTTTCAAAGGAAAGTAAGCCACATCTTCTACCACTTGGAATGCACACGGTACAAAGTGACTGTTACCCCTATTTTCCCACCCTTACAAACACGCATGCTTCAAAACCAGGGGAGAAGCAGGGATATTGACACAACACACATTTATAGCCAGTGCTACACTTTTAGTAGTGTCCTAATATTCCAGTGCTACAAAATAAGTATAGGAGAACAAAAGCTTCACAAATCTCATTCAAGAAATTCTTTCTCAGCTACAAAACAAAAACCACTTGATTCTGGGTGAAAGTGACATTAGTTCTATTTAATTTAAAGTAAATGTCAGCTGTCATACTAGACTTTGTGCTATGATTTTTATCTAGTACATCACCATATTAAAAGCTCCACCCACCAAACAGAGATGCAATCTCAGTTTAGCAACAGAGTGAGGTGTGTATTGAAAAAGAACACAAGCTTAAGTATATCATGCCTAAAGCCCAAGGAATGCTTATTACAGGCATTACGTGAAATATATCAGATCTGAGATTCATGATTTGAAGAATACACTAATAAATAGCCCAAATAAGAAAAAACTTTAAGCTCTGCACTGGGGGAATTTAATTGCTGTTTGCTAGCAAGTGTTGTAATTAACCATAAAATTGTACTGTAAGGTTGTATCAAAATCCTTGCTAATACCTCTACTTATTCACAACTATCTCAGAATTACTGAGAGATAAGCACTAAGAAACGAGTTATGCATCTGCAGCATGTACAGAACACAACTCTACATGTCCATTGGATAAATATATACAAAATGCAACATGAACTGGATGAAATACGGTATGCATTTTAGAAAACAGCATAGTAGGAATAATTGACACTATCTTATATATTGGCACTAAACTTTTTTTTTTTTTTTTGATTTAAAATAATTTAAAGATCCTACTTAAGCTGCTCTTTCCTCCCTCTGTTGTTAAACCATTATGAGGCAGCTCCCCCGTGGCTAACAATGATATGTGGTGGCACTGAGTGACCCATGCAGTATGCCAAGTACAACGGCTCAGGTACTTACGGATACATTGCCATAGTTGTCAGTTTAACAAAGATGTCCTTACTTGGAGCATCAACAGTATTGCAAGTAAAGGCTTGAGGCGGAGGCATTTTGTGTTTTTTGCAGAATTCAGCAGGTGAAATGCTATATTCCTGTCTAACTTCATGCAAGTCAGACTTTGCAGCTACCACTAAGCAAGGTATTCTCCTATCCATGAAGTGCTGCTGCAAATTTAGAGAAAAACAGAGAAAGAAACAGTAGATAATGTGTTCAGCCTTAAGCAGCCTGAATTTAACTGGTTGCAGCAACAGTAAGACACATTCATAGTGCTGTTTGGTGGCTTTAGAAGCAGAATATTTTAAATAGACAAGTATACCATAGCTTTGTGTGAAGAAAAAAAAAAAAAAAAAAAGAACACTCTTACTTCCATGACAGTTCTAATGCATTCGCCGCATATAACTAGCACACATACAGAATATATATTTTAAGCAAAAGAACTGCATAAAATATGAGCAATTGAAACAGAATTTTGTCAATGACTAGATTTATATAAATACAAACCTTAAAAATCCTGGCACAGTATTCAAAGGACTTGGGGTTACTGACATCATATACTAGGCAGACCACGTCGCATATGGTTTCAGCATCAGTTAGAAATTCAGAATCACTGACATCATGTAGCTGGGAGAAAAAAAAATAGTTGGTGGAAATGGGAGAAGAGCTCCATCATTATGCAGTTAAAGGAATTTTATAACTCTTTTTTCTCAAAATTTAATGGCTCATTTCATGTATCCTTAGAAGCAATAGATTGACAATAGCCAGAATTAACAATAACAACAAAAATACCAGGAATTTACCATACAGCTAACATATGTGAATTGTTAACATCACATCCCCAGGCAATCACAACCTCAGCATAAAAAGTTACATCTGCTTCTAACACATAAAACCTTAGATTCCCATAGAAACCGGTATTCAGAGAAAATCAGAGGGGAAGACTAGATCTTGAAAAAGAAAAATTTATTATAGTAAAGCAAAACTACAGTCAAACAAACCTTAAGGAAAATATTTAACCCACTGAAGACAGATGAACTTTATTCATCCTAATTATCCCACCTGGCAGGTTCTTATTTATAAAAGTGATAGATCACTTGCTGATTATTTGTCAGCTAGTGTTATAACTTGATGCCAAAAAGTACAAAGATAATAGAGGGATTTAAATAAGGGCTTAAAAAAAAGTATCAAACAGAGTCTGAACATTCTGCTCAGAGTTTTAGCCATGGGCAAAACTAGAAGATATTTTAGCCTGAGGAGAAAAACAAAACCAAAACAAAACAAAGCGGTGAAGAAAGGGAGAAAACTCCCCATTAAAGAGATAGTTAAAACAGAAATTTTTCATTTGTTTGCAGAAGGCTCCAAAGAATTGCACTGAATTTTAAAATTAATCAGTCTTACGCAAACAACAATGGAGCAGACTTACCAGCAAGTATTTCTCCTGTCCATACACATAGACTGTATTAATGGCATAGTAGGATTTGTGTTCTGCACGTATTTGCCTCTGTCTCTGGAAACATAGAATTTCACAATAAAATATACTAACTTTCCCCCTCTAAATTAGGTTTGAGAAGCTGTTCTACTCTCCTTATAAATGAACAAGCATAACAGTAATCTGACCCTAGCTTATTTTGGCAAGTACACGCACAGTTATATTCCACGATGAACAAATAATCATGCAATGCAATATCCATTTGCCTATTTGCTGATCTACAAAACTATAATACACAGGAGGACTCTGTAAGTTCAGTAATAATCAGCAGGGCTCTAAATTTTGACAGGGTTTGGCTGTCCAAAGTTAACTCAAAGCATGCATGTGTGAAGGTAAACAAAGGTCTCTTACTATTAGATTTCTTCCAAGAAGAGCCTGAAGAACTCCACTTTTCCCACAGCCTTTCATTCCAACAACATTGCATCGGAAAACATTTCTTTGTGTCTGTTTTTTCTGGAGATCTATTTTTTTATCTCTAGTTACTTTTGAAAAAACACAAATATTTCTTTCACAAGATGCACGTGTGTGTATGTTTGTAAAACCCAAGTACTCTGAAACAGTTGTGTTGCTTAACAGAGGTGGAGCCATTTCATTCGTTTTTAATTTTACTGATTTAAAAAAAAAAAAAAACACCATGCCCTCCTCCCCCCAGAAAAAACACTCTCAGTTGCCTTCTACAACTAATTTATAACAAACAGAAGATTCAAATATGTCTGGGTATCTCTGCAAGCTTTTAAACAGAACGTTAATGTTGACCAACTCCTACACATACAGGATTGCCTTACGATTGCAGTGACACATCATGCTAGAATGCCAACTGCGACACAGACAAGTTCCATACAGCTTTTCTCAGGTTTTGTTCAGTGAAGCCCATTTCTATACATTTTTTCCTTTATCTAGTCAAGTCATTGATAGCTATATCTGAACTAACTATCCATTTACATTGAAAACATACACACAAAACAGTATCCCTCAAAAATACTGAATCGAGTTTGGCTTGAACAGAAAATAGCAAAGGAAGAGAGAATGAAAGTTCAAAAAAGACAGGACACTCTATTTATTTAAACAATTGACTCCTAGGAAGATTTCTAAGTTTAAAAATCTGTATTATACCAAATTTTGGCAATTACCTGTAATTGCTGATGCTTGAGATTCTTGTTCCGCAAGTATCGAATAGCCTAAATAACCCAGGTACTCCAGGCAGCGCTGTACATCCAAGTATGTGGTTAGCCTAGTGAAGGGCACAAAAAAGATTTTCTAAACCATAAAGGTCCTCCATATTAATTCTGTAGAATACCATAACATTTTCCCCCCACATCACTCCAGACTGAGATAATAGGAGTATTCCCAGTACTCAAAGATACAAGTTCTCTGAAGACAAATAATGGCAACTTTATCTGGTCTTAATGCTCAGAGAAATACTGTTGAGGCAGTGAGACCTACCACCTACGCTATTTTCTGCACAGGGAAAGATGTTCACCTCACTTTCTTTGACTTCAAGAGGGAAAGAAAAAAACAAAAACACCAGTCTTGAACAGCATTCTTTATATGTTTCTAAAGGTTAGAAGAAAGAAACATGAACCAATCAACAGAACATATTCCAAAAAGCTTCAAGGACCCTTCCGAATCACCTCCATAAAGCAGCAGTAACCAACAACATAATGCACCACACTTACGTCCACTGAGAGAGAAAGCCTTGGTACGTAATCCAGCCCCTCTCATTTGTACAAACAGTGTTGTTAACATCAGGTCCCCATGGCATGTAAGGGAAGACTTTGAATAAATCTTTCAGTTCATCGGGGGACAAAGCACAATCTCTGTCCTGAAAACAAGCATTTGATATCAGACATAAACACCACAGATTAATTCCTGACTATTCTAAACAGATACTTTCTTGGTGTACATTTGCAAGGCTCAAGAAACTGGCTGTTAAAAAACTAGCACCTTTTTCATCACTCCTCTTTATAGCTTAAGCCAGTTTCTGAATGAAATGACAATGACAAAAAAAATTGCTAGAAAAATTGTGATTTTATTAAGTGTTTGAGATATATATATATATATATATACACACACACACACACATTTCTAAATTCAAATTAAAGGCTTACCAAATCATGTTTATCAAAAATGCTTTGGAGAAACAAGTATGCATGATGATTTAATTCTGTTGTGCAGTCTGAAGGAATTTTTAGCCTATTTATTGAAAACAAAAAACAAGATTGGAAGTCTTAAGTGAGTTCAGAAATACAGCATTTGGCCTTTCATCTTAGTATTGAATTTTAATAATTTCATTAAAAGAGAACAAAACAAGTACTTTTTGTTAGGAATTTTAAAGGTATCACTGAGTGTCTTTATATTGTAATATTGTAATATTGTAATATTTATATTGTAATATAAAGACACTCAGTGATACCTTTAAAATCTATCTATACTATCTAATAACTAGCAACATTTTTTTAAAAAAGTAGATAGGTATGCTTTTGAAAAACGATAGAAAGCAAGTTAAAATAGAGGAAATTTGCATGTTAACATATGAAAACTTATTTAATTTGGGAATTTTCTACAGATTCCAAGAGCCACATACAGTCTGCAATTGCAAACTTGCAAGTTCTAGTCTATTTTGCCACCTCTTACTTATAAAGAGGAATGAAGGGCATAATAGGGGAGAAATGGACAAGTCTCACTTCTTCATAATAAAGTGTGTGTAGAAAAAGGAAACCTGAAATCAAATAACAAAAATCTGAAGGCCTTGAAGCACTTCATCTGCTATACAAATAGACTCAATATCAGAATAAAGAGTTGAAAATAAACACTCAGTTTTCAAACTTCTTAGGTGAAGTAACAGATTTAGAAGAATTTAACTGTATGAAAATAAAGACAAAACATATTTTCAACAATACAAAAACAGTTAGCAGAAGCCTGGAGAGCAACCCCATGGAAGAATGGCCTTGGTTTTCCCATACCAAAATAACTGGATGATCAGTTAGCACTTTCTACAGCTTAACAAACACTGAGATTTCACTGCTTAGTAAGGCTATGCTTTAAGATTCCACTCTTTATAACTAGTACTATTACATGCACAAGCTCCACAAGGAAAGCAGTTACACTGATGCTCAGGAAGAAAACATTTTCTCCCTTCAGTTTGGCCATATGTTCTTAGCAAATCTGTACAATGTGGTTGTTAAAATGCTGGCAGACACCACACCTGGCTGACAGTTATTGCAACCAGTGAGATGAGACACAAGCTACAGATTTCCTAGGAAACGATCTCTTTGACTCAGTTGACTTATTTTAGACATCTGGATTCCAAGCTTCAGTAACAGCAAGTTAAAAAAAATCATTCATGCTCCTTATCCCTCAGTTTAATCATCCTTTGACATGATACTGTTATCACACCCAACTTTTGTAATTTAAGAAGCAAACTAGAGTTCATATTTCAAAACAGTTACTTTACGGGAGAATGACTATCAACTTAAAAAAAAAATCATTTTTAAAAGTTAAACAATGCTTACCTTTTAATGTTAATCCATTATCAGCAACTCCATCACTTAGATTTTTCCTGACTACATTCTTTACATCCTCCAAAGCTTGAGGTGCCAGTGGCGTATTAAAACAAATTCTCTAACAAAAATCAGAAGAGTCTGTTAGGACCACTGGACACTACCCTTACAAACAGCACATCCTATATACGAAATGCAGCCTTAAAGGATAGGATAAGCTAATAAAAGGCAACCCAGTTTCTCAGTGGAGATTATATGGAGATTTTTTTTTTTTAAATAATACTATCTTTGGATTGATCAATTTAAATACATTTTTATTTTGTTTTGAACTAAAACTACAGCAGTGGTTAGAAATCATTAGCACCATTTCAGTTGTGCAAGGAGATCTCTTCTTTTATGCTGCAGTAGAGACTTCATATTTAGGCCCAATTCCCTTCTCATTTATTTTGATCTATTATCATTCCTTCTAAAATAAACAGTTGTTTTAGTAGTATTCATATAACTCAGCCATTCAGAATAGTGAAAAGAGATGCAGACAGACTTACCTGAAAGAAGTTGAGCTCTGCATCATTGAGAGTACCATCATTATCCTGATCAGAAATTCTAAAAATACGAGTGAGTGCTTTAATACAGGCAGGTTTCATCTAAGGAATAAAAGAAAGTTCAGTATCTTTTTGGGTTTCTAGATTTAAATACTACACTAAATGACATCACACAGCTCAAATGAATTAAAGCTAATACTAGTTTTTATCTTACATTTTTGGAACAGAGACATTCACACACAAACACACACAGGAAAAAGGGGGGGGGGAAAAGAAAAAGAACATTCTTAAACTGGCAAATTTATGTCCACCGATCGAAAGCTTAAACTGGGAAAAAGAAAAAGAGCATTCTTAAACTGGGAAATTTATGTCCACCGATCGAAACCAGTTTTTTGTCACATAAAATGCCTTTCTGTTCAATAAGTAGATTAGTCTGAATCTCTTCACAGGCTGCAGGTGGCACTAATTCCCCCCAAAACCAGTTCTCTAAGTTCAGTAATATTGCTATGGAAAGTTGTGGGGTTTTTTTTTGCAAAAGAATTTTAGGGGGGGGAGGAAGGTGGGGGGAAAGCATGGCAATTTCAGCACCTTGCAAAAATAAGTGGCTCTGGAACTATGCTTTTTCTAAAGAAGCCTACTGTCTACATTTACTGATTCAACTATGGCTTCAGAAGTAAAAAATTCAAACATCAAACACTGAAAACCTCCACAGAGCTCATTCATCTGCCAGGCAAAGCATTGATCACATGAACTATCTCTAGGACAGAAGAATTGCTGGGATACCTTCCAAATGAAAGAAAACAGAGACAGGGGTATTTCTCTCCCAACACCTATACTGGTGATGGACTCTTCTCTTCATAGAAGTCAGAGATTGCATAGAGATTGGTTTGGGAAACCCAAAAAGATTTCAGCACAACAATTCTATCACATCATTACTAACTCAAAGATGATTCTGATGGAAGAAATCAAAACAGAATTATTCTCTAGTTTTCTACATTAACAAAATACTTGAAATTGAAGCAAATCACATGTCCAAAAACACATGGTTGGGTAAGTTTACTGATTTTATTAACAATTACCTATATAATTAATGTTTGAAAAAAATCATACCCCTTCATAATACACTGAACTAACTTCCTATGGTAATTAAAAACAACCTGTCTTCTGCCAAAGTCTCACACCATGCTCAGAAAAGTTCTTTTTTTAAATCAGGGTGAATATGGAGTAATTTTCCTGAAAAAGGAGGATTAATGTGAAAGTTAACAGAGAACAGAATTTGACACATAATTTGACACAACAATAAAGCCATTACCAAAGCTTCATATTTTATTTTGAAATTTACACTAAAAATTCTGTCTTTATTGTTTCAATAAAGAGGAAAGGCAGATCTGATTAATGTAAAACAAAGATATCAATATTCTTTTTTTAAGAATATAATGCTTGACATTTGAGGGGTGTGTGTATGAGAATGCACTAAGAAATGCAAAATCCATTCAAAAGGGAGGAACAGAAAATTAACTTCAGTCAACTTTCCCCTGCTCACATTACTTGTTTTTAAAATCTGTATTTAAATACCTCTTTCTCCTCTGGGCAATAAAGAGGACCTGTAGGATGTAGAACAGCTTTCTGTGCATAATAAAATAGCTCAGATATATTCTTCAAGTTTTTTGCTGAACACTGAAAGAGAAATCCTTATGTTGATTTGCCACTCTCTTGACTATTCGATGGTTCAAGCAGAAATCTAAGTGAGCAAACTTTAATACCTAGCCCCACCTTGTGGATGCAGTGCTATTAACAAAAGGCTAGCTCCTCTATCAGTTCAGTAATTAACAGGGAGGTCTCACTAATTTGCTATCATATCAGTAACATGGAAATCAAAAAGCAGTATCACAGTCTAACATATATATAGATATATCCATTCTATTTTGATATTTGCCATATGTCTGCATATATGACATCTATTTTGATAAATACATTTAAAATACTTGATGGGGGCAAAGAATTGAGGAGATGTTCTGAATATGAAAACAGCTTTTAATATTTAATCATACAATAGTGGTATCTTCTCTATAGAAAAAAATAACAAACTCACCGTGACAACAACTGCTCTAGTTGAGATGTTATTTATCTAGTCTGAACAAAAACCGCTACAGTTATTAAAGAGTTATTATATATGCTTGACAAGAATGTATTTTTGTTACTCATTCCAATTTCAGGAAGTCTTGCATACCTCTACACATGTTTCTATCTCTGTATATTGATTCATAATGGGAAGAATAGTTTCCATACTGCTATATTCCACTAGATCAGATTTGTTTCCAACTAATATAAGAGGCAGCCTGAAAAGAAAAAAAAACCTTTAATGAACTTTACAGACAGAGGGATCAACAGATTTTAATTTAGTGCTCTACTTCCCAACAGAAACTATTACATTATTTTCATGTGATGCGATTAGTGTGATATCACTAGCAACCAGTAGGCAAAACTAAATGTTAGCAATTTGAGTAAATGATTCTAATACACACTTAGATTGAAATGTACTTCCCAGTGATCCGGCTGAACATAAGAATAACTAACCATATTATTACTGTTCTACAAAACCACCATCAATAGAAAGCCGATACAGGTCATGCAGCCAAAACTGATTATACTATCACAAATATCACATCTGCTCAAAACCGAGCATGAAATTCAAAATATACAGCACTGTTGGGGCATTTAATGGACCTACATACTTTAAGTCTCTTGCTCCTTGGACTTCTTGCATAAGCTTTAAATTTACAATTTGATTTTCTTAAACAGTTAACATCCTCAACACTGTCCTTTAACACTCATTGATGTGCAGCCTAATCCACACTTATGTTTTTATTATGCACCTGCTATCTTTGTCTGTCCTTTCACTGATGAGAGGAATCCATCGGCTTGTTACCTAAAGGGGAAGGGGGAAAAGGAGAAGAAAAAAAAAAAAGCCTTCAAATATAGTATGACGGAACTGTACACACAGTTTAATTCACACAACTACCACTGCTTCTTTGCAAAGATGACAAAGGAGCACATATTTATCCATACAGGAGAAAAGAAATATCTTTCTCAGATGACTGAAAATCCAGATGTTGGGATGGACCACAAGTAAAACAATGCATAGATGTATTTTATTAACCATCTCATCTCAAATGCCATTTTACAGATTTTAAACATTCAAAGTCAATTTGGATTGTTCAAGCCAACAATCAGCAATGCACAACTTCCATCTCAAGCAATAATTGGATAAAATGTGTTACCATACCTTATCAATAGAATTCTTGTTATTAACAGCATATACTATGCAAATTACATTTGCCTAAAATGAAAAGAAAAAAGGCGTGAAGTTCCAATAGTCTCTAGAAGAAGAGACAATTAAGAAACATCTATAATATCGTAAGAGATCAAGAATGCTTCACCATTATTCAAAAACTGCATCCTAGACTTGTAGTCTCCTGCAGTCTAGTATTCCCAGCTTCTGCCCACTAACCTGAAGAACTGCAATTTGCAGCGCTTACTGAACTAAACACAACATCACTACAGTCTGCACAGAAAATGTGCAGAGGTGCTCAGAAACAACTGGGAATAAGAAGCAGAAAGAATTATAAAAGTACTAAGACTGTTCTCACATTCGTAAATGCAACAGAATAATATTACATAAGTGAAATAGATCTTTTCAGGGTGGGATTATTTCTTTCTCCAAAAAGCATCAATTCCTTGGTCTACTAACTAAAGATATCTAGGTTCTGTTCTTTCACTTAGAAAGCAAAAGCTTACACCAAATTCACCAAGTCACACTTTTTCAACAAAGGAAGGTTTTTAACAGAGGAGGGAAAAAAAAAAAAAAAAAAAAAAAAAAAAAAAACCCAAGAAGAAAAAAGAAAAA